TATCTGTTATTTGTCATTCCAAACAACGTGACCTGCCCAGTTTCACGTCAGTGTTGCTATTCTCTCTACAGTATCATCCACTTCTGATCTTCGTCGTACTGGCGATTTGAGATCTTGTCTCGCAGTGAAACGGTTAACATGACACGTTCCATCGTACTTTGAGCCACACCCAGCTTTTTGCACTATTCTCCTTGTCATGGTCAAGGTTTCCGCTCAGTAAGTCATTGTGTACGGCACAATAATTATTTATTGTCCAATAATCGGCACGGATGGCCAAGACAAAATCGGAATTACTTATTTTTGTTACACCGCCATTGCCATGTTTCTATCCTTCATTCCTTCACTACCCGTCCGAAAGTAACCTCACCTAACCTAACACTCTTATCTATGGTAACCTCTTTTGCGAAACAACCTTAGCGCTTACGACCAGCTGTCAATTCAATGTAGTCTTATTTTTTCGGTATTGTTAACAGCAGGTTGCAAAATACTAATTACTAGGTATGCAACCAGTTTAACGATTACTAGAATGTAATTATTTTCTATCTTTAGTCGAGGACTGAAAATTGCTACAAACTAATGCTCCTTCCAAGTTGATGGGTAATTGTACCCGGTGGCCTTACTTTTATGTTCTTCAGTTTTGGTGTAAGCTGTAGGGATTTCTGGAGAAACCTCACTTGCAGCTTATTTTGATATTTAACTCTACTGGAGACGAGGTCAAAAATCTTGGTGAAATTAAGGATTATCCCAGGAGAAGGGATTTTTGTGGATTAGAAGGAATAAGAATTAGGAAGTATGTCTTATTTTTGTTAAATAAATAATAAGAACTAAAGCTTTGGATAGTGTTTTATTAAAAAATCTTTTAACAGATTTTTTAATTAAACTATAGTTAAAGGAAAGTATAAACACAGTCGTTACTTAAAGTCCAAGTATATGTCAAATTAAAAATCGTCAATTAGTGGATCAATTTAAATGCATAATCAAATTTCGAGCGGTTCTTAAGATAATCGAAAAAAACCGATAGGTTACTACGCTAAAAAATTAAATATAAATGGAACGGAGTGAAGTAAAGCAAGAGGTTCTGATTTCAAACAAAGGTGGTGTCCACGTACTTACTTTGACAATGTAATGTTTATATTAAGGGAAGGAGGGGTAATAACACGCGGATAAGCAGAAACTTACAGGTTTATTATTTTGGACAGATGTGTTATTGTGCTAGTTAACTACTAGTCGCAAGAGTATTGCAAGATTTTGAAGCTATTCCAGATAAATCCATCTTGCTCATAAATTTGAATTTGGAGAACATTACCTCTGCAGCCTTTACAAATATCTAGCGGCAACCATGTCTCCATTTGAAGTTATAGCTGGATAGTACTCACTTTCTGATTAACGTAGAGATCCCACACGTTGTTTTTACCAATGTATGAGCTAATCCAATTTTGTTTTTTGACTCGGATATTTGATTATATATTCGTCTTCTTCTTCTTTACGTGCCATCTCCGCGACGAAAGTTGGCAATCATCACTGCTATTCTAACGTTTGACACTACAGCCTGAAAGAGTTCAGTTGAGCTGCATCCAAACCATTATCTGAGGTTCTCAGCCAGGACATACTTCTTCTGCCTATGCTGCGCTTTCCTTGAATCTTTCCTGCATCATTAGTTTTAAGAATGCATATATATCACCACGTGTTATATGACCCCGATATTGTAGTTTTTTTTTATTTTAATGGAATCCAGATCTCCTTGCTATTCTCTATTCTTCTTAGTACTTCTTCATTGGTTACTCTGTCTGTCAGGACATTCTCAGCATTCTTCGATATGTCCACATTTCAAATGCTTTAAATCCAAAAGTACAAAAAATACATAACACTTTAGTACTAGTTTTCTAAGATTTAGGCTGAAGTCTCTACAACATATTTGTTTCATATTATTGAATGCACTTCTAGACTTTTCTATTCTAACTCTAATTTCTTTGGTATAATCGTTTGTTTCATTAATGTTTGCCTCTAAATAGTTATAATTGTAAACCCGTTCTATCGTCTTATTATTTACGTGTAGATTAATGTATCAAATATTTTTCTTTGATATAACCATGAACTTTGTTTTCTTTATGTTTAGTGACAGACCAAATAATTCACTCGCTGCAACAACGTTATCTAAAACTATTTAGATCTGTAATATTTTCTGCTATTAGTATTGTATTAGCGGACCAACTCGACATCGAGTTTTGATGTAAGTTTTGCTGATATTTAAGAGGGGCGGAGTCTAACGATCTATCGTTTCCCGTCGCCTGGTGTAAATGTTCCAAAAATCTTAAAAATAAACTGTATCGACGCCAATTTTTTTTAAATTGAAATCGATACAGTCGTTTTTTAGGATTTTCAGGAAGATTTACATTAGGAAACGGAAACAATATGATTGTTAGACTCCACCCCTCTTAAATAAAATTAAATATAATAAAAAAAAATAAAATTCAATTGCAGAAGGACTGCTAACAGAGCTTGCAATTCTCGCTTCAACTAATGAGGACTGTGCACAGCTTAATCAGCAAGTTCTTGATCTTCTGGACGGCGAAGAACGCGTGTACTTGAGCATTGATAAAGTCGTCATTGATGACATCAATGAACATCTCCGACTTCCTACGGAATTCTTGAATAAAATAGAAGGTTCAGGCTTGCCACGACACCGTCTTCCTCTCAAAGTAAATGCTGTCATTTTACTTATGAGAAATATGAACACAGCAAAAGGTCTCATAAATGGCACTCGACTCAAAATCAAATCACTTCACCCCAATTGTTTGGAATGTGAAGTTCTTACAGGACAGTCAGCTACACAAGTGATTCTGGTCTATCATCCGAATCCGGTCTTCTCTCATGGACAAACTGTACGTTGCAATGTCTCGATCTCGATCATTTGATGGCGTCAAAGTTTACATCACCCCGAATTCCAAACAAAAATTCGACGAAGATGGAACAATCTGGACTAAAAACGTATTTGACGAAATATTCCGTGATATTTAGTGATTTTCTTATATGATTGATTGTGATTGTATTGAACTAACTTTGATTAAATTTTTGAACTTAAATGAATTAATAAATATTTTGTACTTGAAATTCGAAGTTGATTTTTTTATTTGCAATTTGGTTAGTTTAGTTTAGTTTAGGTTAGGCTGGGATATCTTACCGGAAGTAAATATTTCCGGTTTCACAATTCTGAATTCAATCAGTAAGTATAAGAAAAAAGTAGACGCGAGCATATTTAAAAAATACATTGAAAATTAGGACTGTAAATTTTGAAAAATGAAACCTGTAAAATTCCTATACTTTACTATAGGAAAAATTCATTTTATGGCCGCCATTTTTAAAACCGGTTCGAATGTTTTAAATTTGAAACCTTAGGGGGAATCTACTCAACCATCTGTTAAAATTATTCTCCTATCTATCACCTTTTAGGAGGAGTATTGCGCACAAAAAAAGGGCTTAGCCTTTTAGTATATAAGATCATCAGCATATCTAATTTCTCGTATGGTAGGCCATTTATTTTTGTGCCTGTGACTTCATATTCTAATGCTTTTTGAATATTTCCTTTGAGTATGCATTAAACAGTGATGGCGACAAGACACATTCTCGTCTAACACCTCTTGATTTTTATTTTATTAGTTTTTAAATTATTTATTCATATGAACAGCTTCTTGTTCATTATACATCTTATTTATTATTCTTATATCCCGTGAGTCAATGTTCTTTGTTCCCAGCAGTTTTATTAACGGATTTATGTTTCACTGTATCGAATGCCTTTTTATAATCTAGGAAGCAGACATAGATTTCCTGGTTTACATCTAAACATCTGTATATTAGCACATTTACTACATATAATGCATCTCTAGTTCCTTGAGTATTTCTAAATGCCAACTCAGTTTGTCCAATGTATTGTTCCAACTTTTTATATATTGTAATCTTTAGGAATACTTTTAGTATGTGGCACATTAGACTGATGGTACGGTGATCGCAAACATTGTCTGGAGTTTTTCTTTTTCGGTATAGTCACGAATGTTAATAGAAGCCATTCTTTAGGTAATATACCTGTTCTGTATATGATATTAAATAATTCGATAACCTGTACATTGTAGTCAGCGATAAGTTGCAATATTTCTGTCGGTATTTCGTCTGGTCCAATTGCTTTCCCAGTTTTCACTTCTTTAAATGTGTGTTTTACTTCACTGCACTGGTCTTCTAGTTAATTAATTTAATTCTTGTGTAAATTAAAGCTACCATGTTTATTTTGTAGCTTTTCTATTTCATCACACTTTTCTTTTACCCAATTTTCTTTTGCTATTCGAATTTATCGCCGTATTTCGTTTTTGTGTTCGCTGGTAAAATGATTTATTTTTGTCATGATGTCATTTATATAATCGTCATGGTTATCTATTTATGTCAGTAAAGGGACTATGACAGAACAAGCGCGATGGTGAAAGCGCTTCATGTTATTTATTTCGGGAAAACGTGAAAAAACGTTGGTTCTGAGCATTTCTGGCTCTTTTCAAGGTCACGTTCGAATGGATCGCTACGTATGAGGCATTGTTGCAAAGGCTTCGACCTTTTTAATATGTTTTCATCCTATATGCGCCGATTATTCATCAAAAGCATAAAATAATCGTCAGGAATTATCAATTATGCATCAAAAAGTGTCAAATACGCATCAAAAACGATGGATTCGGCACCATAGAGCGTCTAATGTTTCAAAAAGCGTCCAATATGTCCAATACTTGAAGGTACAACGATACCTCATACGTGGCGATCTGATATATGGTTCAAGAGTGACCTTGAAATGGGTCAAAAATTGCCAAAATGCACCTTTTTTATTGTTAACGTTTCCCATAAAAACAGGAGTGCCTATATCCTCCGCCAATTCTGTCGTAGCCCCTTATGCGACAAAAACCTAAAATGGTTAAATTTTGGACTATTTCTAATTATTAGTAAACAAAAAGAGATTCAACATGTTCATGTTGTCCAAAATATTTATTGGTGGAAATTGAAACAATAGCAGGTATCTACACAAATCAATTTGAAGGCTAAACAAAACCAAATAACTAAAAGTTGACATTGCACATAAACAAAAAAAAGTCACTAGCTGCATTTTGTAGTTTTTACTATATCAACAATAGTGAAATAAATGCTCGATGTATCTCCAAATTTCACGGGCTGAAACAACCAGCAAAATATCAAACTAAAAATATAAATTAATTTTTAAGTCATTAATCGTAGAAAAAGTACAAAATGAAATATATTACACATGTATCACAATTAAATATAGGATTTAAACAAACCTTAATACACTTTCATACAGTCCTTTAAAATATACCTAACTAAAGCTAGTTTGATTTCGACGTTTTCTCTGACTTCCATATTCGTATTCTTTCTTTCAAATCGTTGGCTGAAACAAACAAGATATAAATATACATTACTCTTATCTATACTTTACAACATGATAGCATACTACACAGATGGGGTTCAGAAAAGGGCTTGGTGCTCGAGAAGCTCTCTTCGGTTTGAATGTTCTTACACAAAGATGCCTAGACGTTAATCAGGAGGTACATACGTGTTTTATCGATTTTGAAAAAGCGTTTGACAGAGTACGCCATGATAAGCTTAGAGAGATTCTTGAAAGGAAGGACATAGATAATAAAGATCTGCGAATAATTCTCAATCTATATTGGAATCAGAAAGCTAACATCAAAATAGAAACTGAAACATCACAAGCAATAGAAATACGTAGAGGAGTACGACAGGGTTGCATTTTGTCGCCTCTGTTATTTAATGTATATAGTGAAAGCATCTGTCAGGAAGCCCTTTTACAAGCAAACGGAGGAATCGTAATTAATGGAGAGATTGTAAATAATATTCGATACGCGGACGACACTGTCCTAGTTGCAAGAACAGTAGAAGAATTACAAAGATTACTTACAGACATAAATATTGCTTGCAACTATTATGGTATAAATATCAATATTAAAAAAAAACAAGTATATGGTCTTCAGTAAAAACATGACACAACCAGCGTATATTAGTATAAACGGCACTCAAGTTGAAAAAGTATCAAGTTACAAATACTTGGGAACTTTAATAAACGAAACTGGAGACCAAAACAGTGAAATAAAAAGACGTATCGAAATTGCCAGAAATTCTTCTGCAACAGAAAATAATCATCCCTCTACGATTAAGAATGCTGAGAGCTATCTCTACGATTAAGAATGCTGAGAGGCTATGTATTTAACACGCTATTATACGGTGTAGAGGCCTGGACTCTCAAATAGAACAACATGAAAAATATTGAAAGTTTCGAGATGTGGTGCTACCGTCGAATGCTGAAGATTAGTTGGGTTAAAAGAATAACAAACTGTGAAGTAATAAGAAGAATAGGAAAAGACCCAGAGATTTTTGTTAGCGCTAAAGCGAAGAAAACTCGAATATTTTGGTCACCTGATGAGAGGAAATAAATACGCATACTTCAAAATATAATGCAGGGAAAAATAGAAGGAAAACGGAATCCAGGCCGTAGAAGAATGTCATGGTTGCGGAATTTGAGAGAGTGGTTTGGCTGCACCACTAATGAACTCTTTAGGTCAGCCGTAAACAAGGTCAGAATAGCCTTGATGATTTCCAATCTCCGTAGGAGTGGCACAAAAAGAAGAAGCATACTACACAGATGTTTACATACTATATAGTATGTAAAGAGAGAAAGAGATCAGCTAGAATTTCCTCCTCCACGTAAAAGAGTACGACACCTGGTAATTCCTTGATCTGAATCGTAATGAGAAGTTCTGACTCCACTTTTCCAAAGCTCGAAGTATGTTTATTGGTAAGTTATACAATTTATTTGAATTCTCTTTCCTAAAGACCATAGCAAGGTCGTCTGTATATGCCTGAGTACAGCTTTCATACCTTTTCCTCCGAAGATGAAATCCATCATTATATTCCTAAGGAAGGGAGAAAGAATGCCCCTCGGGGCATCCGTTTCCAATGAACCTAGTTGATTTCGCATCCACACGCTGTATCATACATAGTGAACTAAATTACTAAGAAGTAAACTTAAGACACCGATACACTATACCATTTTTCAAAGTAAAACACTTGCACGTCACGATACAAAGTGACGTCACTTGTATTTAAAATTTCCAGAACATCAACCTTATACATAGTTCAAATTTTCCTAACACAACTAATAATACGAAACCCATACGGAACTGCTCGATCTTTCATAGGCGACAACATGGTGTAATAATCAGAAAAATATAATCATCATTATATTGGAAATTTTAGAATTATATTGACTAAATAACCAAAAGCAATTTATCTTATTAATAATATAAATTTTATGAAATAACTATTGAAGTCTAATATTCCACAAAATAATAATTTTAATTAAATATATTAGACAATTGTACGCAACTGTTACGGAAATATATCAAATATTATATCAAGCGGCAAAGTGTTGCCGCTTGTTTAGGGTAGAAATTTTGTTTATGTTTTGATTTCTTACACAATTTGATCATAATATATATTAATAAATTGTATTTATAAATGCATGTTAAATTTAGATTAATAGCTTTAAAAAACTAATTATTGTTGTGTATTGTGATTGTGATATGCCAAAACAAATAAAAGTATGTAGAAAGCTGATAAGCTTTCATATAAGATAGATTATTTTGAACAAGAAATAGTGGCGGGACGTTTTTTACTATTTTACTAAACGGACTACAGCTGATAACAGATACTGGAACTCAACTTCAACCATGGGTGTATGTTACCTGAAGTCAAATTTAATTAATATTTAACATCACAGATTTATAACAACAATATGTATAATCTTTTACAATTACATGTATTTAAAGGGTTTTTACCCTGATATTTTGGTGGCTCAGGCATTTTAACCTAGCATTTTTAAACCTGATGATGGAATGTTTATTCCGAAAACGTTTGTTTTTTTGATGTAGCCCTTTTAAGGGTTTTTTAAATATACCCATTTACGAAGATTAACCTCTTTTTTGTGATAGGTACGTGGTATACAGCCAGCTGCAGGAATTGTTTTTGGATTTGTGGATTTTTTTAACAATTAAGTGTATTTACCGTTAATATACTAGTTTGACAAATAGTTGACATTTTAAAAATTCCTCACTTATTTAACTATTCTGATGTTTCGACAACGTGTGGGGTTCTGATGACGTAAATCTTGAGTGACGTGCAAACATTTTTATATGAAAAAAATGCTATATGTGACTCAAATGCAACGTTACTCAATTCTTGTAGATTATGAACGGTAGCGACCGTAGCTTAGTCGCTATGCTACTGGTTTGACAAGCTTAAGGGCTCGGTTTGGATTCCCAGCGACAAATGTTTTAATAACTAATTGTATTGAGCTGCCACCATGCTTCGGAAGACAAGTAACGCCGCCGGTCTCGTAAGTAGTCGTTAAGTCATGATAGGAGCGCTTGCGTGAGCTGGAACCCCTAACATTAAACTTAGCCAGAAGACTACACGAATTTTAGTTTACTTTTTATGGGCAGGACAGAAATGGGATATTCATAACACAAAGAGAAAGGCCAAAAAGACTGTTGGATATCAAGTCACTATTAGTTAGATATCAATAGACTGTTGGATGTCAAATTCACTATATCACAAATATATTTAAAATATCAAAGTATAAGCCTTTTGCGCAGGCCATCAAAAAATGGCCTGCGCAAAATACTGTTTCCGAATTTTTACCGACATCTTACCTGGTATTAACATCTCCTCCGTCAACACCTGTCTATTGAAAGGATCAGTATTACTATTCAGTAGATGCCGCATTATAACAGACCGGTCCATGATCTGTCCGCTGGGAAGCAGCACCGGGTCCGACATAAGCGTGTCCATCAAAGGATCCTTGAACTCGTCAGGGGCGTCCGCTAACCAGTCATCGGTTTTTTGATTGTTTTCAAGAATGTGGAAAGCTTTCACAGCTAACGCTCGGAATTGCTCGATTTGTGTAGCTGTTTTTATGGAGATACGTTCTAAACGGGCAGCTGCGTCTTCGAACAATTCTTTTCTAAACGATCTCTACAAAAAATACAAATAGTATAAAGTAAAGGTAGCTGTGAAGAAAATAAGTACAAGATAGCGTTCACTTCATAGTTAACATTAAAATAGTATAAAATCTTGTCTATAATGTAATTAAAGAATAGTTTTAAAACTTACCTCGTCGCCAGCGAGAGCTTCGGCAAATTTATCACAATCTAAGTGCAAATATATATCGACTAATTGACTAAGTAATCTGCGAGGCTCCCAGCCATACTTGTCTGGATTCCTAACTTTTAAATCTTTACATTTTTTCCCACAAAGCTGCTGCAGGTTGAAGTTTAACATCGAAGCTAACCTACAACATATTACTAGTATGAATACATATACAATTTATCTAGTTTAAAGGATTAACAGTTTCAGAACGTTTTCTGTCCCATCGTACTATCAGTGAAAACATCTAAAGAGTAGTTGAAATACTACATAAAGAGATTGAATGACCAATTTAGTTCCAAGTGATGTTATGAGGGTAGATGGGAACGAAGTACATCAGGTCTTTAGCTATATCTATTTAGGGCATGAAATTAGAATAGAACAAGACAATAAAACTTGTGAGATCCAGCGTCGCATAGGCTTGGGATGGGCAGCATTTGGCAAGATGCGAGATATTCTAAAAGGAACGCTACCGATTTGCTTGAAGAAAAAGGTTTACAACCAATGCATACTGCCAGTAATAACATATGGTTCCGAAACAATAACTTTAACAAAACATTCTGCAAATAAATTGAGAGTAACCCAAAGAAAAATGGAAAGAGCAATGTTGGGAATAACTAGAAGAGATATGGTACCAAATAGGATAGTGAGAGAGAGGACTAAAGTGACAGATGTTATAGAAAAAATTGCACAACCCAAATGGAGATGGGCTGGACATATAGCACGTTTAAATGATAATAGGTGGACCAAAAGACTCATAGAATGGAGACCTAGAGAAGACAAAAGACACCGGAGCGGACCAGCAAAAAGATGGATGGACGACTTGAGAAAAACAGTCGGAAATTGGATACAGAAGGCGCAAGATAGAGAACAGTGGAAGAACATGGAGGAGACCTATATTAAACAGTGGATGCAAGAGGTTGAGGAATGATGATGATGGTGGGGATATGTTATATATTTAAAGTATTAAATTTTAAAAATATTTTGACAATCAGCCAACTGATTGTCAAGGATAATCAGTCGGCTGGTTTCAACACACCCATGGGAGGAGTCGATAAATTAGAGTTTCTAATACTATCTGTAGAACCTTTAATCGCCCAAAGAAGTGGACCCTCAGGATGTTTACGCACGCTATAGACTTGACCTGTGTAAAAGCCTGGTTAAAATACAAAAGTAAAACTATTCAATTGGATAATTAAAAAAAGTAATACACTTTATCCTACGTTATCCAAACGGCTTAATCGTTGGAAAGGGGATAAAAAATGGGGTTGAACGCAGTATGTGCCGTGTGCATCGGAGCAGACCAAAAGGGCATTACGTCATATTTTTGTTTCTATTGGTCCGATCATGACGTACGAGGGGTCGTTGGAACGGGTAAGAGGTAATGAATACGTTGAGGCTTCGTTTCTATTGATCTGATTTTGACGTTGGGGTGTCAAATGAAAGCAGCGGTGACACAGAAGCCATCAGTTAATTCTTCTTCTGTCAACATTCAATATTAATTGTCAATTCTTCTTTTTCGTATAGTGAATAACAGAAACATGACATTAGACGCAGGACGTGACAGTCGACGCAGTACTTGAGAAGGCAAGAGATCAACATATGAAGCACATGACAATGTACATTCTGAACTTCCATAAAAATATGCCGGATGGCTTAACCCACCCACCCCTTGGAAAATCGGTGCCTAAATCCAACACCTTTGACCACTCGGCCAACCTGACGTGCAAAGAGACCTTATAACTAACAGTAATTATTATTGTAAAAGGTATTGTTCATTTAATGCCATAAGATTATTATTTATGACTGAAAAACATCATAAAACAAATTAACGTCAAATTCTTAATGTTACCCCTACCAAAATATCACGTTCTGTTAGGCACTATACGGAAAAGAAGAAAAATTGTATTGAAGTACAGTTGGTATTGAATGTTGACAGAAAAAGACATTAACAGTTGGCTTCTGCGTCACCGCAGCTTTCATTTGACACCCCATACGTCAAAATCAGACCAATAGCAAACGAAGATACGTTATAGTGGCCATTTGGTAATTCCGCCATCTTTGTTTTTTGCCTCAACGTATTCGTTACCTCCTCCCCGTTCCAACGAGCCCTCGTACGTCATGATCGGACCAATAAAAAGCATATGACGTATTGCCCTTTTGGCATGTTCCGATGCGCACGGCACATACAGCGTTCAACCCCATTTTGGTGTACCTACTCGTACTTATATTGCAGAAGCTTTAATTTTGGATAGAAAAACAGCACCACGAAAGACTGGTCGTCCTTCCATCACACTGGACAATTCTTTAAACTCAATATCCACAAAATTTCCAATTAAAATCAATTACTGAACTCATGGACGTATAAACACAGATGGACTCAGTTATTTACATAAAATTGTGAAGTCAAAATTATTTGAATAGGTCACATTCTCAGCACCTTTAACTGTTGTCACGTTTTTTTATTAAAATTTCTTATTCGCGAGTCGCTGAAAATATTACTCCGTATTTTATACTCTACAGGTGCTATCAAACCAAAATAATAACTTATTGGTTATATTAATATATTTAATTGTAATCAAAATATCAAGTGTGCACATAGTGTGCATTATCATTTTATAATAGCGTATAATAGATATCAATCAATTATTTTATATGTAGAAGCACTGAAAACTATTTACAAATGGCAACGGTGTTTACATTTCTCTGTCTTATGGCTCTACGTCAAATTTCAAATGCTGTTCCCTGTTTGTTTACTTTTTAGTAGTAGTAGTAGATGAGAAAAAGTTGTTTTGCGATATTTTGGCTGTATTTTGAGTGATAATTGTTAAAAGTGAAATAAACACATTATAATAATTTTTCTACAGTGTTGCGTTTGCAAAAAAAATTTATTTTTATTTACATTATTTAAGATGAGGAACTGATGAAGCGTGTTTGTTTACATTTTAAAACATGTCTTTCATAGGCGTACCATTGGGTTTATTCATGTTCATTAATGTATTAAATAAGATATGAGTTCATGAAATTAGCAGACATTTTTAAATTGTAAGTAGACATCATCTGATTAAAAAAGATCTGTTTAGTACCTTTTTAATTTAATATTTCTCACGGATACAAATAAATTAGTGAAATGAATAAAACTCATTTATTTTTCTATGTAGGTTTCCAAATAATATTGACGATCGAACTATTTGGGTAACAAATTTAGGAGAAAACATAAAGATTTTTTATTGTAGCATTATTTTGATACCTATTAAAAAATTAACTTGAATTCAACTACAATTTATTGTATTATAAAGCAAATAAAATTGTATTTTAATTTTTCTATAAAGACGTGATTTGTTAATAGTTAACCTCTCGTTTTTTTAAATTCTTTGAACGTGTTTTTATACATTATTACTACTTCCAATTTTTAAAGTCTGAATAATTATCCCCGCGAGTAAAAATTCAAGCACACTTATGCTCATTGAAGAAGCATCACAATTATCACATTCTATCGAAGCTTCAAAACATTGTGTGTTAAAGGTATCTTATTGCTGTGTCCATCTGTGTTTATACGTCCATGACTGAACTAGGTTTGGATGGAATGTATCATTTACCGAAATAAATGCGCTGAATGTTTAAATAAAAACAGCAATAATTGTTACAAATTGTATCATCGACAGTAATTTTGTTGAACCTAATAAAAAATGATACTATATACATCCACAAGCACAAAATTGTAATCTAACATATTCATAACTCATGACTAAAAGGACTAGATTTAATTTGTAAAAAACTTAAGAAGGCAGACCCTAAGGTCCGTAGTCATACAAACTCAAGGAAAAAAATAAAAACGATGCTTACCTGTCTACTAATTCCGGCTTCAAGAAAGGCTCCTTTATATCTACAGTCAAATAATGAAACATATCTACAGTCTCCCTAGCGAGCGTCAAATACGACCGACATTGTCTCTCGTCCGAGTTCAATTGCCTCATTCGGCTCTGTTGCTGCTCTGACGGCAACTTCGACCATTTTTCATCGTCGCTGATCAATTCCTGGACTTCGTGGATCCTCTTGAGGGACTCTAGCGACTCATCCAGCAAGAAAGTGGTGTCGTTCATCAGCATGTTGACGAATTTGACGAATTGCGATCCTTCGCGAGATTCGTTGATTAGAGTTTGGCGATGGACGGGAGATGACCACATTTCTAAAACATCAATAGAATCAGTCTTCTCGTTCCTCCTTTCAAAATTCAGTTTGCTTAGGGCATTTACTTTAAAAATGTAGCTAGATAATTTTTTGACATCCATGTGCACCAATAGAACTTGTGATTTCTGAAAGTTAAAGTTATAACAACAATGTAATTTTTCTTTTAGCTTTATCGGTGACCTGAAGATGACCAGAAAATTTTAGTGATCTAAAGTTACCATTAAACTAATTGTAAATTCTGAAACATTTTTAAGAGCCTTCTTTTTTCACTTTGAAGCATGAGGCACATATTTGCAAAAAGAAACCAAGTAAGCAATCAGGCAATTCATCTATTTGAATTTTTACCACTTTTTACCACAATATTCTTACTAAGGATGTCCACAGAGTAATATTACAACAAATAAACATAAAATCACTTATCCTATCAAAAAACTGTCAAGTAATCGCGCGAAAAAATTTAGTTTTTTAAGATCTCCAACAGATGGCGCACTATAGATCAGACTACATCTCTTTTATTTAAAATTTAACACAATGACGAAGGAAAGAGATAACCTAATAGTTTTTAATAAAAAAAATCTAAAAGTCATAAAATTCGCTGAAAACCTTTGTAATGGTTCAATCATAACTTTATCTCTTGTCACTGCGAACAAGTATCATCACATCCTACTTCAAGAGACAGAAGTGGGTGGTAAGTAACTAAAAAATAAAGAATTCGCATAAAAATGAAATAGCACAAGGCCATATTTCCGTTGAGATTATCGGTTTACGGTAGGATCGATCCCTGTTAGTAGACCAGATCTTTAGATGGACGAACATGAGTATTATAATCTTTTAGATGCTGGAAGTCGGACTTGTCTGGCAAAGTGTGGTACCTGATACAGCAGTTTCCACGCTGAGATCAACTAAGAACCAGCCCTTATCTGGTCATTTATTGTGCAAAAAAAAATATAATAACAAACAATATTTTAAGGTTAACAACTGACTGGAATGTGAAAGAAAAAAACAATTGAAAGAAACATAAGTCGATGTTTTGTTCAAGTTCAACGTTATCAATCCAATATGTATCAAATATATAATCAAATACTTACTTTTAATAATTAAACTAATGTGATACCGTATGGAAAACTTGTCGTAAAACTCCGAACTGGACCCTGTAGTTTCGACTTCTGTGTAAAACTTCATCAGCGAACTGGGCAGAATGGTCTGCGAGATATGGTGATTCATAAGGCGAGAGTATATGAGTTCGCATCGAGGCTGAATTGAAGGCAGGATCACAAATACTACTTCAACTAGTTTGGCAACTAAATAGGGATTCTTAACCATATTGGAAGAACATATAGTCACTAATAACCACGTTATCATACTATCTTCCATGTTATCAGCGATTACGTTCGGGAAATATCTGTAAAACAAATTATAATACATGAAAATATTCGATCAAGGTAAAGTTTAATAACTGGTAGTTTATTATAATTGAATGTACTCCTTTTACGGTAAAAATATCACCAAATTCGCGGTCCTTCAATCCGGATCTTTGTTAAATATTCTTTAAACACACTTTTCATTGATTCCTACGTGGAATATGGAATATTTACTCTCTAATATCCAATTTCTCGGTGAATTAAACTACCTCTAAGCGTACTATCACTCTCAATCTTTTGCAAAGTAATCAATTACCTATATATCATTTTTTTGTAGAAACTTTATAAATTAAACCAATTGACGGTCAGAATGTAGTGTGATTAAGTGCTAAAGTAAGACAAATTTAATTAAAGTTGATGAGATTGAAACAAACCGACACTATTAATTAACTTTATAACTATATGCTTGTAAAAATAATACAGTATGTATATTTCAACCGTATATTAAAGCGGATTTGCACGAATAGAAATCTACTCTTGTTTTTCCTTATGATATACTACTAGACTAGAGCCCATCTAGCTGTAACAGATATAATTTGACAATCGTAAAATCAAATTAAGTATTTAATGACAAAAAATTGAATTCGCGTTCAATGTACTGGTTTGAGAGTCAAGATAGCACCAGTCCATGCGTGGTCCCTCGAGCCGGATATTTCTAGCTTATAAATATTGTTTAAAAATTCCCTTCATCAGTTCCTTTGCGAAATATGAAACATTTACTCTCTAGTTCCCGTATTGGTTGGTAACTACACTAAATATCGGCAGACTTTCACTATTAGACTCTTCAGAAAGTGATGAATTACCTGCATCTCATTTGGCTATAAAAATTGTATAAATTAATCAATTAACGATACGCCTCAAACGTGTATCAATAGCTATCTTATCAGAGAAGATATTAAACAAAAGTTAAACGTACACCTAAGAGAATAACTTCGTACAAAGATGCTCAAAAAACTTTAAAATGTAAAAATAAAATCTTTGCAGATTTAATCTGACTTGAAAATAGTTAATATTATAATTTTTACAATACTTTTCTATGAAGAGCACTATTTTTTGTAAATAGAAATTTTATAGATTGTTATAGTTTCAAATCATCATTTAATTTATTAAAAATTAAAGTCTTAAAGAAACAAAAAGTTTCCTCATAAAACATGTAACAGTTACTTACAGTAACATGTAACAGTTAATCTGTGTATTTTTGGCGAATTATAATAAATATCGGCGCCCTTCCCAAATCTCCTTAGAATGTGATCGATACAGGTTATCTCGTATCTTATAAAAAAAAATCAAGAAACAATAGAATGGATGCTCAATTACTGTTTTACAATAATATAGTAGAACAATAGAATGGATCTCAATTTCTGGTTTTACAATTAATATAGTATCAAGTCAATTGTGGTCCTTCGAGCCGGATACTTACATACATATGAAACATATCAACCTCTTTAAAAGGTAATCAGTAAACTACATCTCTTAGTTTATTAAAACAAATTAAAAAAACTGAATTGGAGCTCATTGTGTCGGTTAAACAGTCAAATAAGCAGCAGTTCATTTGAAGCCCTTCGTCGTATTTCTTTGCGAATTAGGTGTTTTCACTGCCAGTCGCCTTAAAATTTGATGAATGAACTAAATCTTGTTTTTCTTTTAGAAAAATTTCCTTTTGTTGGAACGATTTCCGAAGTGGAAATTGAAACATCAATAAAACTACCTTAACCTTCAATTGTGGTTTATTCCCATTAAAATAGTAATTACTTTTAAAATGCCACAAGCAGATAGCTTATGAACAATAAAATAAAATCGAAGAAGAAATTGAAATGACCCTTAACGACCTATTTTACAGTCAAAATTGCTCAACTTCCCATCCTATTTTAAAAAATATTTAAAATAACTGTTACTTACTGTAACGCAAACAGCAGGAATTCCGCGATATCTTCCATGTACCATTCCGGCAAGGAAGAAAATGCAGAAGATTCCGAGGGCAGTGGTAAATTCGGTACGGTACTACCGGGAGGCGAATTCGTCATCAGACTTAACAAATACTCTGACACTGACGTATAAAAGACTAAAGATCTTCGAATTAGGTTTTTGTCTAATATTCCAGCATCGGCACATATTTTAGATCTAAAAGAAAAGATGTTCAATAATAATAGAAAAATTATATTAACAATAAATCGTTCAATTGTAGGATTTCACGTCAGCTGTCAGTTGTCACATCAGTAAATTGTCAGCCGTCTTTAGAGCTATCATTTTTCATCAGTCATAATTTATATCTTACAATTTCTCATACACAGTGGATGGCCGAATTATTAGGGACACTACATAGATTTTTGTATTTTCTACTTAAATGATTTTTTTGACAAAAAAAATTGGTGTTCATATTTGGCAGTTCTTCTGGTATGATTATTAAACTTTTTGATAAGCTGTAACACTGGTAGACTGCTTATGTATGAAATAATAATTGCTGTTGCATCTCAGTTGGTCATCGGATGTTATCGCAGTGGGGCTTAAAAATATTTGCAAGTTGTTTAAAACTGTTTTAAGTGCTTCTGCTGGGTAAATTTGTTATTTATTCGTTTTTGCTACCTTAATCACACGATTTTATTTAAAAACATTGTTTAAAGTCAAAATTATTTTTTTAGTATGGAAAAAATTGCAGACTTGTCTCCAGGGAAAATTAGAGAAATAAAAACGATGTTACTTGAATCTACACTTTCCCAAAGAGTAATAGCAACTACTGCAGGTGTTTCAAAGTCTGTAGTAAACCGAATTAAAATCAAAATTAATTCAAACGAGGCATTGGAACCGGGTCGTGTTGGAAAATGTGACTACACAGGAAAGGGATCACTACTCCTCGTAATGACCATAAAATCAGGGACGTAAGAAGAGTGTGGCACATCTGACTACGATGATAAATACCGAAGGAATTAATGTTTGCAGAAGAACAGTCCGATAAAGACTGGCCGAAGAGAATCTGATAAGGCGCTGGCCCATGAAAAAAACACGGTTCACCGAAGCCATGAAGAGAAAGAGACTCCAATGGGCCAAGCAGCACCAAAGTATGACCGTTGAAGACTGGAGTCGAGTAAGTACAACTTTTTGAACGAATTGAGTTCGTGAACAGCGAATATCATTTTTTCAGGTGCACTTCTTCGACGAATTAACATTCCAGATTTTGATAGACAAAAGTGCGTTCGTCCGACGACGTCCCGGGGAGCTGTTCCATCCAGATTGCATTGTGGAGAGGGTTAAACATCTGGTTAGTGTCATGGTTTGGTCTGTAATCTCGACCAAGGGTATGGGACGCTTATACATCGTGGAAGGGACAATCAGACAGGAACAGTATAGAGTAGACCAGTATAATTACATTTATATGTACGATGACACTAACCTGACATGAACTCCATAGAGAGTATCTGGGAGTTAACCAAACGGGAGATCGCCAAAGATGATACTACAACGAAACGGCAGTTGATTGAAGTTCTTAAGAATGGCATCACAACCCAAAATTAAAACACAATGCAGAAGTTTGTATTCAGAGCATGCCCCGACGTGTAGAAGCTGTAATTGCAGCAAAGTGTGGCATCACTAACTATTGAAATTAGTGATTTTACGTAACATTTTTTTTGCGAAAAGAATCAATGGTTTTACTAACATAAATCATTATTTTTGTGACCTTAATACCAAGCTCTTCTATACAAAAAATAGATGGAAGCCTTAAAGCCAACAACTTGCTAAAAAATTCAGTTAAACTAGAAATTTAAGAAATCATCTTACTGCCCCTAATAATTTGGCCATGCACTGTAATTTGAAATAGAAAAATTGTTAATATAAATGAAAATACAAACAATTAAATGAAATTCCTCGAACGTTCTCGAAAATTACTAAAATAAAGAGTATATTTTACTTACTTGTTGAGTTTCTTTAACTGCTGTTTCCACCTCTTGATAAACTGCTTATTTCTATTAGCAAACGGCGTATTCCGCCATTGGGCCTCCGCCGCCACAGTCTCGTCGAGTAACTTTTGAAGGTCTTTGATGGCTCGAAGTCGTCGCTGGTACTTCTGCAGTGCAGGTAACAGTGATAAATGGTGGCAGTGCAACGTTAGGAACCAACATATTGTTGAGAAATTTGGGGTTTGGATTTCGTGGGTTTTGCCTGAAAAATCATATATCAATCATAACTTAATGTTAATCAACACTTAGAACCGGAAGTTTCGCCAATTATTCATATTATTTGCAGGTACGAAAAACTAGTCTCCAGGTCACTTTCTATTTCAGAACTTGCCAATGATTGCAATTATATACTTACCGAACTCCTGTAACCAATCAGCAACTTCCTGAGAAGTGAATTTCAGTCTTGTATCGTTCGATATGGACACAAGAGCCTCAGGATGGAATGGGTACATGAAATCCATTTTGTCTAGCTTTATTTTAACTGACAGAAATTGTAACACGCTCAACAAATTCAACATAAAGCCATCTCCAGCCAAAGTTCTCTCTTCCATTTGTAATTGAGATCTAAAAACAGATATAACCGATTAAGATTATAAATTCATCAATGGCTTTCATAACATTTTTAGTTTTTTCTGTTGGTGTAGATATCTAAAACTAAATATTCTTTTTTATACAATTACTTAATGGAGAAAATGTTTTGGCTTGTCATTGACAAGAAATAAATTTTTAATGAGGGCTGTCCCTTCGCTTTAACGAAATAAATCTGGACAGCGCGTGTCATTAACACAGGATGCATAAAAGAAATGTTTACAGCAAAAAAACAGATCATATTCAAAAGGGATTCCTCCTTGAAATGTGGCAAATTCTAAAACCTCCAACTTCCCTAAATAAAAGAACCGACATCAATAACAAGAGACGTATCACTCTCTCTTATCATACATAACAAATAAGAAGTATCATATCCCTTATTATGTTTTAAACTAATAGTCCAAATTGTTCCATTCTCCATTGAACAATTTTTTTTTCACGAACCCAAAAAAATTCGATTCCGAATGATCTTAACAATCTTGTACCTCACTAGACCCTGAGAACCAAATGTACGAAAGCAATTTACATGTGTAGCCCTGACGCTCTCCTCATCAGACATTAAATAGCGGAATGCAATACGTTAGTGTTGTTTCATATATGCAAGAGCTCAAACAATACAGCCCAATAAAGCCATCTGTGAAAATAAAATCTCTCACAAAGAAAATATCGTCTGCTCCACCCACCAATCAAAATCCTACTGTCAAAAATGTTCGCGTCAATCCCCACGACAACCTCGACCCAAACTACGTCACCAACGACGGTATAAATGTCCGTTATTCCCAGCAGCAGTAATGCATTATTAGTTATCAGTGTGATCAAAATGTTCCTCTCAGTATATGGAGGGTTCAATAAGTGTAAATAAACAAATAAGGCTCATATTAAGATTTATAAACTTGTGTGGACCAAAATAGATTCAATTTCGCAGTAGATTTATTCAGGAAAAATGTTTATAAAAATGTATAAACTCACCTTTTATCATTGTACTTTAAAATCTGAGCGATATAATTCAGACATTGGTCTCTACTATCTTGATTAGCCATCATGAAATGAAATATTCGATGTTGCAAGCCTCTCGTGTTTTCCAACTCGGATTGCAGCACTTGTATCAAACTTTTGTCATTAGAACTATTTCCCGAAAAAAATTTCTCCGCCACCTAACAAAAATAAACATACAGTTTGATGTAGAAAGGTTTATTGGTATTATTTACCTTGGGTTCATCTTCGGCGAACACAGAGACGTTCAAGAACGGCCCAAGATAGGAGCACCTCATAATCTCGCGTCCGGCAGCAGGCGTGCAAACGGGAGGCATGAATTGCGCCTGTTTGGTGAGCAACGTACATATCGGCCTCGGTCCACATCTGATATCAGTCAATTCGAAAAGGGTTTGGATCGGTACTCGATGTTCGTCGCCCACCATGCTGGCTTGTTGCATGATTTTGAACAAACCTTGCAAAATCGGACTGAAGACGCTGGAGAAGAGATTGTCGTTTGTGTGTGTCCTAGTGATCAATTCGGTTAGGAAAACCTCTGGGTATTGATTGCTGTAGGACTGGGTGTAGTAAGGGAGATTCGAGTCTGGGTTCAGATGTTATTATACAACCTAAAACACAATAATCTTACTAAGTACTTAATAAGAAACGCATAAATGGCTTACCTTGTGCTAGAAGAGTTGTATGTTGAATAATCTGGGCCCTTAATTCGGTAAGTACGTCGCTCATGGGAGGAACACTTGACTTCTTTGGATTATTTCTTTCTTCAACCCCAACCCTGTTGTAAGAATCCATCAAAAAGTTTATAGCCACCGTCATCGAGTCTTGAGTTGTTTTACTTCTACTATTCAGAGTTATAGGAGCCACCGGATAACTTCCCATTGCAGGACTAGCTGAAGATGGGCTGAGATTTGACGGACTGGCCGAAAAAGAGCCCAAGCTGCCAGTCTCGCACATATCGGAAGTCACCTGGGATAAGTTCTGGAAGGGGTTTTGCTCCGTAACGATTTTAAACAAAATTTCCATTATAGCATTCGAGGCCAGATCTCTTGTCGATATATTTTGATTTTCTTGAAGGAATTTAGCTGTTTCGGGAAGATATAGGCGTGTTTCTGAGGGTTCTTTGAATGATGAGAGTAAAACTCGAGCTACAGACGAATGCAGTTGTTGAAGAGTTAATTCGGTAGATGTCGTCGTTTGTTTCTTGTGCAAGTCCTTCTTTTGTGTGTCTATATCGTCCACCTAAAAGATAACAATTATTAACGTTATTAATGTACTAGCAGTTGATGGATTTAAGATTTTATTATTTGGTTTACGTCTTGTAATATACAAGACGTAAGAGCATTTAGAAGAAGCACATGTGGAAGCGACCACTACCAAGTAAAGGCTACAATAATGCCCATACGACTAGCCAAGAAAAAAGAACACAACGAGGAACAAGAGCAAAAAACAATCGAAACCAAATACAACTTGGATAGCCTCAATCATGAAAGCACAAAGACACTGTACAAAAAGCGACTCGATGAAAAGCTCTTACAAGAAAATTTTGATAGTGTTGAGCACCATTACAATTACATAAAACAATGTCTCAAAAGTGCAGCAGAAGAAGGTCTGGGTAAATATGAAAAAACCGAACGAAGGAAGCCATACTGGTGGCATGAAGTAATCAAAGAAAAAATAAAGAAGTACAAGCAAATTATATAAGCAGCTAGCCAGCCTTTACCATAAATGTATTAACGGAGAGACTATACCGGAGGAGTTGAGGGCATCGTTTATCACAACACATAAGAAGGGAAGTAAAGATCTTCTTCTTCTTCTACTTTTTGTAGATCTTTCGATCTGTTTAATTCTGAAGCTGCCTCTGGTTAATTTCTTGGGAGGTAGATTGCCAACTATCCCTCCATCTTTTAGGTGGTCTTCCGGGGGTCTTGAACCGGGCGGATTGTTTTCTAGGGCAATTTTTGGGAGTCTATTCTCATCCATTCGTCTTACATGGTTGTACCACATCCTCTTGCGCTGCCTTCCCCATCTTACAATATCTTGAATTTTGCACTGTTCTCTAATGTTTGTATTTCTCACTCTGTCTCTTCTTGTTTTCCACATTATTGTTCTTAGGGTTTTCATTTCGGCAACCCTTAGCATCTGTTTCGTTTTGTTGGTATCTTCGCGCACTTCTATGCCATATGTCATGATCGGTCGTATGCAAGTCTTATAGATTCTAATTTACTATCTGTGTGCATATACGGATTTGACCAGACTATCTCCCGCAGACATCCTGACAGTGCAGATGCTTTGTTGATCTGACTCCTCAGGTCCTTTACTGGGTCTGGGTGCTTGATATATCTATGCCCAGATATCTGAATTGCATCACCTGTTCTATGGGGTTGTCCTCAACCACTAACTTACATCTGAGCGGATCTTTTGCTATTGTCATACATTTAGTTTTGTTGGTAGAGATGTTCATATTTAGTAGTCGGCTTGTTTGAAAGAACTGAAAGAGCTGCCTTTGGAGATCATCTTCTGATTCGGCAATAATTGCTGCATCATCTGCGTAACACACCATACCAATTCTTTGTTGCCCATTCTATATCCAAGAGTAAGGATGAGTAAGGTAAGAAGTAAAGATGTATGTGACAATTATCGAGAAATCGCAGTCCATAGCACCATCTCGAGAGTTTACAGGAAACTCATCAAAAAGAGAATGAAAGATGAATTCTATGATATGGAGGCCGAAGAACAGGCGGCTTTAGAGCAGGTAGATCAACTATTGACCATCTATTTACTGTCATCCAACTAATCGAAAAAAAAAGTAGCACGAAATCAACCAATATTATCCTCTACATGGACCTTAAAAGGCTTGGTGTGTCACAACAAAAACTCTGGAAAGCTCTCGAGAAAACAAATATTTGTGTAATCTTAATCAAGGCTGATCAAGATCTCTACAAGAAAAATACAAGTAAAATAAAGAAAGGTCAGGAGTTATCCAAGGTTTCACTATCCGCAAAGGACTCAAACAAGGATGCTGCGTATCTCCTACTTTGTTTAAGATCAACTCAGAGCAAGCGATGAAGACGTGGTAAAGAAAATGTAGAAACATGGGAATTCCTCTAAACGACACAATATTGTACACATTGATCACTGCCAAAAATACAAATATTTAGGCAGACAAATAACCAACGATGGCAAATTAGATGAAGAAATTAAACATAGAAATAACCAGGGAAGATAAGCCATTAGGCAATTAAACAGTGTACTGTGGACAAAACAGTCTCCAAAGAAAACAAACACAAAATCTATAACAGCCTTATAAAAAGCATTGTTACATATGGAAGTGAGGTATGGCCACTGAAAGGAAAAAACTTTAGAAGCAACAGAAATGGACTTCTGTGAAAATTTCTGTGGAATGGAACCTCAACAGAGAAGGCACTTAGGAGGAGAAGGAGAAGCATATTAGATAAAAATATTAATTAACGAAAATGCTGTCAAAAAATGATGAATATATAAATGAAAATATTTTGTACACTTTATTAAACGAAGAATTTGACAGAAAACGATGAAAAAAAAATGATGAAGACGATAGCACTAGAGTTGGAGAGTTTAACATCAGAAAGAGGTCTAAACATAACGGATGAAACAGAATTTAGTTCTATTTAAACACAAGGATTACCGTGTTTCTGTTATGATTCTCTATTCTTTGTCCTTTAGAAACATTTGTTTCTGCAAATCATTTTATGTCGTCTTGTTGAACTTGGCATCAATACATTTTCTCCATTGCGCGTTAAAATAACAAATATTCTCCAAGCAATCAACTGCAAACTTCGTTTAATCAGATACTTACTTCCTGGTAGGTAGTAATTTATAAAAAAAAACGTGGAAAATGTCCTTGACTTCTATTTTCACAAACATATAAACAAGAAACAACAGAGTGTTTACAGTTATTTTGGCAAATCGCCATTTTTAACACTCATTTTTAAAAAAATATATTTTTTAGACCAGTAACAGTACCTGTTGTAAAAACAATGTTAAGGTCAGTCATTCGTTACAAAAATAAAGAGAGGTCAGTGTTCTTAGAATCATACGCGACACAAGTAGTTTGGTTTTGTAGTGATTTGTGGTCACTAGTCTAAAATTTAATTTTTTTTTCCAAAAGGCTGAAATTATTTTCTAATGGGGATTATACAGTATATTAATCAAAATAAAGTACAAGAGAAACTGATATTTCTTATTGAAAAACAAAGAATTCGAAAGTGTTTAAATTGTTTTAAACACTTTGTCAGAATTGATATATTTTCAATTAAAACTGTTGTTTAAATCGTTTCAGATCGATATTTTTGATACATTTTAAGGGTCTATAGCAAATTATTTATCTTGATACTATTCGTCGATGGATTGATAGACTAAATAGTATTGAACAGTCTCCTCGTTCACCCGATTTGAATCCTAAAGATTATTTTTATTGTGGATACTTGAAAAATAGAATTTTTAAAACTAAACTTATGTAGAGTCATACGTCGCAATGTTACCAATTCCAACGGTAACTGGAACATCTAAATTTTTAATAATATATAATGTAACAAAAATTTAAATTCACAACATTTAACGTGTTTTTACCCATATATTTTAGTGGCTCACTGCGTATACTTCGTTACACTGATGATGAAATTTACATTCCGAAAACGTTCTGTAATTGTGATATTGGGACCGTGCAAGTTCGGAACAGCTACACCTGGTGTCGTAAATCAACAAAATTTACTGCGCTTTCATGTTAGATCGAGGTTACCGGATAACTGTCAAGGACGTAGCCCCAAAAAAGAATAAGAAGAAAAACTAAGATTGAGGTTATGTCGGTATGTTATTAAAAGGTAAACGTTCTATGTAGTGTAAAGACAAATAAATATATTATTAAATTACAGCATTACTGTTAATATGGATGCAATAATAAAAACTGGATTTGATCACCAAATAACTTTTCAACCAAGCACTGAATCAGAGGAAAAAGCTTTCGTAGTGGCAAATGTCAAAAAAGAATGGAAGAATTATGTGGAAGAATTAAGAAAAATAAATTACCATTAATAATGCTAATGCATAAATTAGCAGGTTAAGCCCATGATATCATCATATTGGTTTGAACAATTAATTCTTTCCCTGTAAACTTTTGGACAGCGAATATATCATACTGTATCTTCAGAAAAACTTAAACTTGATGCATTTTGTAAACTTAAAAAAATAAAATTTAAACATTAAACTTGATTTTTGGGTTAAAATGAACTTTAAGTGAGTGTTATGAAACCAAAATTTACACTTAAAAGTGAACTTTTATTTATTAATTTCAAACTGACTTTAAAATCGGGAGCAAGAATAATGCATAATTTAGGTTATGTTACTTATGCTTTTTTATTATATAAATCCACTTTTCTCTTTGTAGTAATTTGTGCTTCGAAGTTGGAAACAAATAAAACTTAAATTGACAATTTTTTGTCGTATTTTTACAATTTATAACACAGTATTTCCTAAATCCCATTTTCTTCAGTGACAGAAGGTGTAAATAAACAAAGGAATATGAAATATGACAATTGACAATAGGAATTTATGAAATCTATGAAATGTACAGTAAAAAATGCAAGATTTCTCCGCTACTCGCGCACGATCGTTTCTCGTATCACATCCAAGTACTTGCACGTCGCCAATAGCCCGTTTGGGTATTTTATTATATACCTTTTATTAAGGATATACAAATTATTGTATTTAAAAAACCAAAGTGACTAATAAAATCAGAAAAATAGTAAATTTGGCAACGTTACAAACATTAAATTTTAAATCTTCATATAACAAAATAGGTGTATCCCTGTATTTGTACAATTTGGACCATCCATTTAAGAGATAATTGGGCGTTTCGAGACTTTTCGTCCACTCTGTATATAATTTACTCAAAGTATCATTGAAAAGCATAACAATGATTCAAGAAATAACTAATACTCACCTCCATATTCTCAAACCCAGAATCAATATCAGTGTTAGCACTAATCTTATCTGCGCTGACGCTGATATCATCTACTTCCATATGAATCGAACTCGTCTCTGAATCGCTCCTTTGTGGAGGAGCTCTAGTTCTACCTTTCGAGCTCGATGGCATATTAATATCGATGGGTTTTGAAGGCTCCTTGAACACATCTGCTTTCTTGGCCAGATCGCTTGCTTTGTTCTCCTGGAGGGGCTCTGGTTTGGCATCGTCGGTTGGGTTCACGTTAGCATCGAAGTTCGGGGGAATTTGAATGAGATTTGTGTTAATGGGAGATTGGGAGGTTGGTGTGATAGGTGGAGATAAAGAACTTGATGGTGATGTGCTCTCTCTGGCAGTAAGTCTAGCTAGCCGTCGTCTTCGTATCTGAAAAATAAACCTGGAGTTAGCTAAGTATGTAGTACACGGCTATATATCGGGTAAAAACTTTTTTATCCTGATTTTACAGTTCTTATTGAGGATCGACAGAATTCTTGTTTAAGACTTTTATTGGTTGAGTTTCTTCTTTCATATACTATTTTTATGACTAAAATTACTGTGGTTGGTTAGTTGCATAGCTTTCCATTATTTATTTAGCAAATAGAATGAAAAAATACAAATAATATTAAAATATTGTTTTTAAACGTTCATGTCGGTACTACAGATGGCATCAGCTGTCTGATCTCTGATGAAAAACAAGACAGCTCTTTAATAGGGCGAAGAAATCGTGTGATTGTGAAGCACATAAGAATAAAATAAAAATCTAGAATAAGAAAATCCTAACCTCTAAGGAAAGATCCTGGAAAGAATTCTGTGAAAACATTGAAAGTGCACCTTACAGTACCAGGGATAACAGAATTCATTAAAGAAATAACACTATTAATTAATTAAGTCAGTTAAATTGCCCAATGGGAAATATACAGACACAGAAGAAGGTTGTAAAGTATCTTTTGAGTGTTCACTTCCCAGGACATACTGAAAATAATCAACAAGCAAACTTTAGCCCAACCAGAATTAACTGGCTAACCTATAAAGAGATCTTTGGTTCACCCAAGGTCATATGGGCTATTAAGAGTACATTTGGAGTACATTCCCAAAGCTTGGAGAAGAGCAAGGGTGGATTACACCTTAGCAAAATCAAACAGGTTAATCAGTCTGACTTCATTCATGTTGAAAACCATAGAAAAAATCTTAAATGAGTATAAAAAAAACAATCTTAATAGAAGCCAACTCTACCAATGGGCGTATCCAGGAAGGAAATCAAGTGAAGGGGCCTACACAATCTGGTGTCGGAACTCAAAAGGAGTTTATGCCAAAAAGAACTTACCCTTGCTGTATATTTAGACATCAAAGGTGCATTTGATAGTACCTTTATCGAGACAATACTCTAGTGCACTGGTGAGGAATAAAATCAACAACACAACATGCAAAAGTGAATTAATCAGATTGTTAAGAGCAGATTAATATCCACAGATACGTATGAAGGTGCCATAAACCTGAGGGCAACTATAAGGTGCCCTTAAATGAGTGTATTGTCACCAACATTATGCAATATAGTCGTTGATGACCCGATTCATGGGCTTAACAGCCAAGGAGTCTGGATCCAGGGTTTCACAGACGCTATTGAAATAGTGAGCTGAAATTTTTTGAGGCCACAGGACTTATTGGAGTCTAATGAAAAGAAAACAGGAATGGTACAAATGTTTTATGACAGAGTACCTACCAGAGATTTAAATGTATCGGCTCCAGTAAGAAGAAAAAGAAGAGAAGAAATGTCTTAGATAATTGACTGGTGATCAAATTAAACCACTCTTAAATTTGTAAGCCAAGAAAATTATCCAACCTTTATCTCTCTTTATACATATTAATTTTAGTTAAAATATAAATATGGTATAATACAAATGAATAATTTATCATAATGCTGTTAGTATACAACAGATTGGAATTTTTATTATTCAAAACAAGTTTTATCATAAACAATGGACTGCAGCTTACATTAAACAGATTAGAGGAAATATTTAACTAATAATTAGTATCTAAAAATAAACACTATCAATATCTTAACTGGGCTAACAATAAAAAATATATGATTTTGAGCATGATTTAAACATTAATGGTTTTAAATATGAATACATTTAATTTAAATTTATGTTATAAATTCCTTGTTTTACATCTTCTTGTTATTTTATCAGTTATTTATTTACTTTTTTTATTCAATAATCGGTATCAAGCCTACAAGGTCATAAGCACAGAAGCAGTAAAACAATATACAATTATTTATAACAAAAATCATGGTTTAACAATTACGTGACTTTCAAATAGTTTTTAACATTTTTGGGTCCACTACATTATGGAAATCTTATGATCTTAGAGTGTCATCTTCATTTCTGAAGGTCCCAACAATTCTGACAAATCTTTCTATATCCTTTTTATATCTTAATAAGGATTGAGTACCGAGACTCGTCTACTCTCTGATGTTTTTCAATCATGAACAACTTCTTCTATCTGGACCTATGCTTCCTTTACTTTTTGTCTCCATTAACAACCTAAAGAGATCATGCTAGTAGATCATCCTTAGTATATATGTTCTAGATATATTGTTTCTGTATTTTCTATTTAAATGATGATTTCAAGGCAGGCTATAGAATTTTTATTTCTTCTCTGCCATGTGGTGAACTAAGTTTGCTTCTATATCTCCTTTTTCATTAGGGACAATCTCTGGATGTGATTGTTTATAAACCAAGTGAACTTCTTTCTGCATTTTTTTTTTATATATAATGCATATATTTATTTAATTGCGTTTCTATTGGATGAGACATACTTCCATTTATTACAGTTATAGAACCAGTAACATTACCAAAATTAGTAATTGAAATTCGGAAGTTGCTGTATTTGTACCTTTGCACCTACTGCTCTACTGTTAAGATTTTTTGAAGCGTCTGAATATCATCATCAGTGGTGCTACAGCTCTAGTTGAGCCTTGACCTTCCCCAGTCTATTTCGCTAGTCGTTTCTGTTCATCGCCAACCGTTGCCAATTTGTCGCGCCGATCTTCCTTGCGTCCTCGTCCACACCGTCCCTCCATCTCAGTCGTGGTCTGCCTCTACTCCTATTTCCCACTGGGACCGATAATAGAGTTCGTCTGGGTGGGTAATTTTCATTTGCTCTTGACACATGTCCAGCCCATCTAAGCCTACCTATTTTTATGAAGGATATTACATCTCTACCATTTACTATTTTTTTATACTTTTCGTACAATTCGAAATTATATCGCCTTCTCCAAATACCATTCTCACAGAATGCGCCCATTATTCTTCTTAGTATCTTCCTTTCGAAGACGAGCAGAAGATTTGAGTCTGTTTTGGAGATAGTCCATGTTTCTGACCCATATGTCAGCACTGGTGGGATGAGTGTTCGATATATTATTAGTTTGGTTTTCGGGCTTAAATTTCTGTTTTTTAGCTGCTTGCTTAGTCCAAAATAACATTTGTTTGCTAGCAGTACCCTCCGTTTAACTTCTTCAGATGTGTCATTATCGTTTGTTATGAGAGAACCCAAATATGTAAACTTATTTACTACCTCAAAATTATATTGGTCTATACTGAAGTTTTGTTCGGCGTTTCTAGCTCTATCTCTGTTATTTGGAATGGATGCTAACATTTTGGTTTTTTCCTCGTTTATTTTAAGGCCCATATTTAAGGCGTCTGAATATACAGAATAATATTTATTGTTTGTATCTTTTATTGATAGAAATTTTTGTACTATGTAATCATTGGGAGTGTCCCCTTTTAAGACATTTGGTAAAAATTATTGCAGAAGGTTGTATAGTTCAAGGAAAGAAGAATTGTAAGCTCTCTTCTAATGTAATATAGATGTTCATTGGACTACATAAATACTAAAGCGGTATCTTAAATAAAATCTGGTTGTTTTAAAACTAAAATAAAATAATGTAGGTCATCTGCATAGTTTCTAGAGTCGTTAGATATAATTAATAATGTTGTTTATGACAATTAAGAATAATAAAAACTTGGAACACATCTTTGGGAATTACCAATTCTCTGGGTAAGATAGTTCAAGAATATCTGATTTTAAACTTTAAACCTACAATTATTGAGAAAATTTTGTATAGATGCAAGGAATTTTTTATCTATTTCACACGATTTTTGGTTTTCAAGTAAATAATACTGCCACATTGTATATAGGAAAAGGTTCCGTAATGGTATTCTAAATGTAAAAACATACCCAAGCTGTGACATAAATTCAGACACACAATCCTGTAGTTGCAACTATCCGATTAAAACTTAAAAGAGTAGACAAGGCTAAAACCAGTCAGAGAATAGCAGGAAGTAGTGCTGACCAAGGACAGCAACAGAAGTATGAATACATGGTAGACACGCAGTTAGAGTCTAAGACAATAGCTCCTACCAAGGAAGAGACGATAAAAGAAAACATTGAAGACATGTGGCAGAAAATTTAAAATACTGTCTTGGAGGCAGCAGACCAAAGTGTACAGAAAAGAAAAACGGTGGATAACAAACTAAATATTACAAATTATGGAGAGGAGACAGATGGTCAAAAACAATAACCTAACAAGATACAAAGTACTCAACGGGGAAATTGAGAAAAAAATAAATGTAGCTAGGGAAGAGTGGATGAAAGAAAAATGTAAAGAGGTAGAAGATTTGCAAATAAAGCATAAATATAGTGAACTACACAAAAAGGTTAAAGAAGTAGCTGGAATATGGAAACCCAAATACTTATCGATTGTCACAAACAAGAAATACCAAATGGAATCAGAACAGAAAGAAATATGGGAGCAATATCTTAAAGATTTGTTTGGTGATCAGAGAACAGAAGATTCTTCAGAGAATTAATCAAGCCCAGAACAGAGAGAAATATGCCATATTGATCACCAACCTCAACAGAGAAGGCACTTAGGAGGAGGAGGATTGTATTTAAGGCTTTATTGATGTCAAATAAGCCTGCTAAGACTTTGAGGTTGTTACTAAGTCTTTTACTTAATGTTGATTCAAAATTTACTACATTATCTATCTACAGTGGTTCAGCAATTTTCAAATTCACTCTGTTGTTCATTTAGGAACTTGTGTAATTCTGAGGATTATAAGTAATAGTATGGTTAGTATTAAAGTAATGAAAAGGAGAGGGAAAATATGAAGAGGAACTTCAAAAACCGCAAGATCTAAGTAAGCCAATAGAGTCGAGAAAATTTTACCAGACACTGAAAAAAAGCAAAAAAAGAATTCAAACAGAAGAAGTGAAGAGATAAGGAGCGTAATATATTGACAGAATAGGCAAAAATTTATAATGACTTACAGGTAATAAAAACTTCTTAAAACATTTTATTGCAGGAACAATAAAGAAATGTCAGATAATATGAGTGAAAAGATCTCAGTGTGAATTTTTAGTAAAGAACAATAAAGTTCAAAACACAAATAAGTATAATATAACTTTCTAATCTGTTTTAAATAAGAGAAATAACCTAAGATATTATAAAAAATATATAACCAATATATAATACAACCAAAATACACAGAGACAAAACTGATGTAACACCGGGCAAAAACAACAATTAAAGAACGAAATTTGACATATACTCACACATTTACATTGATAATATACAAGATAATCAAAAAAATAAATATAGAAGATATGGGATGTAAAACAGAGGTACAAAATCATACTCGTTACGGTATGTTAGTAAAGGAACTAAATATGGATGATATATAGGTATACCTAAGATAAAAAAGTGCATACCAAACAAACATACTAGTAACCACAGAACAAACAAGAAGTTGTAATATAAAAGCAGACAAAAAGTAAAGTACAAAGAAATCTGTATTCTGAGACAGAGATATATCTTTTGGACATAGGTCTCCCTGTCTTTCGTTACTTAACTGTTCTCTACCTTGTGCCACATGTATTTGTTTTGGTCAAGCCAAGTATTGTTGTGTTCTATGTCATCAAACTATCTCAGCTATGCTCGTCTCTTTGCTGTTTCTAGTTCCACCATCTTTCAATGCAAGCTGTAGGATATGCCCAGAAAATCCATTTAACTTTTGTTACTAGAGCTGAAGCATCTTTTACGGTTACCATAAATCGAGTTATTTATTTTTCTATCTAACAGTTTTATATTCAGCATTTGTCTCTGTGTAAATTATTTTGTTTTCCCTAGATTTTCTGTGTTATCTTTGGTAAATGTTCAGACTTGAAGAACATTAGAACAAGTAATACATACTGATTGGAAAACTTTGTTTTTAGATGCCAGGAGTAATTTTTATACTTAGGAAATTAAGAAGATATATGGACGGTGTTTTGCAACAATCGTCTAACCCACATTTGTTTACAAATGAGGTTAGACGTGTCAAAATGTCGATCATAATGCATACTACATCAAGCAAAAATAATATAAGCCATATCCATACTCATGGAGACGTTTGTGAACTAAGTTCTAAACCACATTCGTCAAATAATATGAAAACAGAAATTTGTAAAAATAGTCTAACCCATGTTTTTATTATAAATATGTGGGTTAGACGCTTGTTGCAAACCTTTGTTAACAGTCTTTTCATTGTGTGCACCAGATGCAAAATATTAAATTGAACAAATCTTTATTTTGACTTATTAAAAGACGAGAAATATATTATTACACTAATATTACAATTTTATTTAAATAAATAAAATTGCACCAAACTAGAGGCTTTATCTTTAATGGTAAAATAGTATATGGTAGAAAGTATAATATATAAAACTGTGAATTTTCTGTGTTGTGAGCTCGGCAATTGATTAAAGAAATTTTTAAATTCCTTTTTACGGAAAAGGTAACATAATATGTTTTGCGATTACTGAAATGTTGGTGCCATGAATGACGACAAAAAAATGCATTATCAAATAACGAAACCAGTTGTTTATTACATAAAATATTGGAATTGTTGCTTCATTGTCAAAATTCTGGTCAGCAAAATATTGTAGGAATATGATAAGAATATTATAGGTATGAGTTGGAAGGAAATTGGTTAAATCCTGATTTCGAGATTGATCAAGATTAAATCGAGTAGGAATTTAATAAGTAACAGTTACTTACTATTACTAATGAACTTGAATTCGAAGTTTTTTTTTGTGTATTTACGATGTCGGAGGGATAGACGGTTATTGCAAAATGACCATTTATATTTTTACAATTTTGCAAAAACAGTCTAAGCCGCTTTAAGTTATTTTTGCAATAAACTGGTTTTACTTATTTTGCTCTTGTACGATTTTTTAGGTAGCCTGTAATTATTAAAATATCAAAAATATGAAAATAAAGTTATTTTCTATCAGTGAATTTCTTAAAGTAGGTAAACACAATTTGAAGAACAATGAAGAACTAACAACAACTCTTGTTAGTTCTTCATTCAGATATTCTTTAGTTAGTTCTGTAAATTGCCATAAATATATTCATATAAGTATAATAAATCACTTGTTCTAAGATCTACTGTGTCATTGTGTCCACATGTGTATTTTGATGTCAGATTAGTTTGCCATTGTTTAGTTTTATCACAGTTCATCTTTATTCATTTTTTATCAATTCATTAGTTAAATCTTCCATCTTTTTTTGTAATTCTCCCTTTTTACTGAACTGCTTTCAGTGAACAAGCAAGATAAATAAGCATAATAAAGATAAATAATCTGAGGATAATAATAACATTTGTAAAGGCTAAAGCATGAAAACAGTAAACCAATTAAGGAAGTATTGTAGCAGGTTATCTACAGAATTCAAACAACATATTCATGAACAAAATTATGCCTATAGTTTATTCGTCTTCCGGGTTTGGACAGTGTCATTTGTGAGTGACCCAAAAGTGGGTTCATCTCGACGTTTCGCTACAATTGTATGTAGCTTCTTCAGGAGAACAAAGAAAAAGAAAAAAGAAAACAAAAGAACAGGAAGATGGGTAGTTAGCAACGGTAACTCAGTTACTCAACGCAACCAGAGGCGAATACTAGTATTAAGCCTATTCAAATACACTACAGAAAACTTCATTTCATTTTCACTGTGTATTGGTAAAGTATATCTATTCTTAGAGCACAGAGATTTACTACTAGAAGAAGAAATTTAAAGAACACGAAGCTGTAATACTTAGAATAAGAAGCTTGTTTATATAAACAGCATGCTGAATGGAAAACATTAATTAATGGGTACATAAAGGCATACAGTACATTAGAATCAATATAGACAAAGAATAACAATATAAAACATAATTATTATAGCAATCACTAAATGAAATGGTCTTTAAAAAGATAGTTAAACAATACACAAATGCACCAAAGATTGAAAATACATTCCTATCTATTACAAAAGAAGAATATACCAAATACAATTGAGGAACAGTTTTTATCCAAACAAAGAAAACTGTTGGCAACTAATTAATGACTAAGATTAGAGTAAAAAAGAAGGTTCATTAAACGAGCTGTTAGTTATATTAATAACTCAAAATAAATGAATGGTCATGCCAAACTCATTAAGTACAATCTTTTGTTCTCACTCACAAATAAATTAATTCACTAATTTAAAGAGAAAGGATACTAATGCATGAAATTTGAATTATTGGTAAAGAAACATCTGTTTGCCGTTTAGTTAAAAATATTTCATACAAAACAGCTGAGATTATGGTTATATGATTTTCACCTTTGTGATAATAAAGTACATGTAAACAGGCAATATCCTTATCATAAATTAGGAAATTTAATTAATATACTTGATTGAAACTTACTTCTTCTTGAGTCAACTCGCTCATGATTTCTTGTTATGGATTACTTGGTGTTGGTAATAGTATTAAAATAATTCTTTTAATTTAGTTACAACGCGTACCAAATAATCACTCACTAAACGAATTTAAAGACGTCAAACAGATCCAATGACTTTTGCTTTCAAAAGTCATTACGTCAAACCCTGTCGACCATCGCTCGGCTGTCATCGGTTAGTCGAAAACTCGAATGATTTTTTTCGATGCTTCCGAGAAAATCGGAAGAATCGAGAAGGTATTTTCGATAAATGGAGAAAACTGTGTAGAGATGGCCACTTATCAATGTTTTGTTGGAAGGAGCAGAACCGATAATAACTAGTTCGTTGTCACTTTGAAAAAACAGTAATTTTTAAATTTTGTTTATTTCCCCTACTACTACCAGAAACTTACAACTAAATAAGTTGCATCTTCTTTGGTCACTCCACTCATTCACTTCCGCAACAAGTATTTGTTCAATTTTCTTTTTAGCTGCGCAGTATTCAGTTTCGTACTTAATAAGTGGATTTATGCCATTTTTATAGAATTTTCTTTCAGTTTCACCACTCGCCTTGCATATCATCCAGGTTACCGTAACTACTGTACGCGTCTTCAATAATTTGAAAATATCCCTGAAGATGCTGTAGGAAGCGAAAGTACTTGGGCAAGATTTAATTAATAAAACAGTGCTCGATATCTGCCTTTCATTTTATCAAAGTTTAAGTCATCTTAGTTGTACTAATAACTTTGTAACACAATTCTAGACACAGTTTTTGTTCTACTATACTTTAAAACTATTTCTTTAAAAACATCTTCACTGTTATAGTCTTCTATCTAATTTTCCTTTATTGTTTTTTACTAATATTATTAGCAAACGTTAGGAGCCAAGCAATATTATTTTGTAAGTATGGATTAAGCACTGAGTCCTAATATAATCCTCCTTTCATGTGGAATTGGCCAGTACTAAGGACAACCAGTTATAAAATAACAGCCTGTAGGTTCGCAACGTGGCTCTAGTAGAGAATACATTTTCCTGTGAAATCTGTCCGATTAAATCATTAGCAATCGAGACACAATCAAAATATTCTTTCTTTATGTCTCTCTCGCTTTGATGATATAGATTGTGTATTAGAATAGGACAAACAAAAATATCAGTATGCCAGTCATTATGAATTGAAGAAATGTGTTCGGTAGCAGTATTGGACTGACCCATTTACGCATTTCAAAATATAATTGGAGGTATTCTGGTTATTGATTTTTCCTAATTTGATGTGGTCTGTTTAAAAATATAAAAATCATAATAAAATCGAAATACATAACTTAAATGTACATTTCGAAATAAAGTCCAAAATAAAACGGGAAGGTAATAATTTTTTGGTCTTGGGAATCAAAATCATTTTAGAATATTCAACAATGTTTAGTCAAATGCTTTAGTATAATCCATGAAAGTAAGGTAAACTTTTTTTCGTTGGTCTCTGCACTTATGTAATAAAAATAGCGCAAACAAAGCCCTTTCTAGTTAACAATCCTTCTCGAAAATCCATATGTAGTTTACTTAGATATTGCTTGAACTTTTAACGGATTCGATTATATAGAATCTTCATAACCAACTTTAATATCTGGCTTATCAAATTTATCAATCGAAACTCACCAGTTCTTTTTGCGCTTGATTTATTAGCAATAGAGATAAATGTACGTCTATGTCCAGGGCGTCTCTTGCCCTTAATCTTGCCTTGTAGAATCAACTGTACTATTACGCATAATGTGGCTGAAATAAGAAAATGTTATGTTCTTTACAGTTATAATAATTTCTTTGTCTTTTCTTAGCCTCCGGAGAAAAGTTATGTTATTTGTGTGGTGTGTATATGAGACTATTTACATACGTCTGTGACACTACATTTCAAATGCCTCTATCCCGTGTAATATTTTCACTTATAAAGATTTAATATCTGATTCTGGTTTATCGGCTGTTTTGACATAGACTTGAATAATCTTTGGATTTTTAGGTGCTACCTTGTATCATTTATATCATCATTGCCCTGTCAGAGAAGAATATGAAATTAAGGACTTGTTCTATAATATGTGTATCATAATACCAACAGCATTATAATGGCTGGGACTGTCGTTTCCAGAATTGTAAAACTATGATTGTTTATTTGTACTTTTCTGCTCTTTGTCCATCTGGTTTTAGTTATCCTCCTCCTCAATCGTTTCTCTGTCGTAAGGATGTAGTGGACATGTAATTTGATTGACTATTTTTGTCCAATTATCTCTCTCCCGTGCGTGTTGTTTTGCTCCGGAGAATGAGTAACTAGTCATGTCCTTTATTTGGTCCGACCATCGTACTGGAGATCTTCCTCTGGATCTTTTACCCTCTACGTTACCTTTAACTATCATTAGCTCTATGCCTTCTCTTTTTCTAGTTATATGTCCAAATAGTGTTTGTATAATGTTCAGTTTGTTGTGATGAGTCTAGTTTTTTTGTTAAGTTCTGCTAGAATTGAGTTATTTGTGCGAAGGACGATCTATGGTATGCGCAACATTCTACAATAGATCTACATTTCAAATGCCAATATACGCTTTGAATCGGCTTTGTTTATTGTCCAAGTTTCTGAAGTATAGGTAATGACAGGAAATATAAATGCTCGAACAAAGCTGAATTTTGTGTTTTTTGTGATGTCAGTGTTCTTCAAAATTTTTGTGAATTTGGCAGTTGCCGATCTGGCCATTGTGGTACGTCGACGAATCTCGTTTTCGCATCCTCCACTATTAGTAACAACGAATCCTAAGTAATTATATTGCCTAACCACTTCGTAGCCTGCCATGATCCTTATCTCTGCCTGGTTGTTTCTGATTCTATAGACGATCATCACTTTGGTTTTCTGCATATATATTTTCAAACCATATTCTGTACACTACAACTGTAGTGTTAAGATTTTGTAATAAATGTTGTGGAAGTTTTGAAAACAAAGTTTTCAGTGTCTTATTGTTACATAAAACGAATTTCCATCAAGTAACGGTCGAATCAATCAATTACAGGATATCGTATTAAAAATCGTCGAGTGACTGAAGAAGAGTTAGGTAAATCCCTAGGCATTCCATTGGACAATTTAAGCAATATTTTAGCTGAAGTATTGGGTTTCAGAAATCTGTCTTTACAAGGAATGCCGCAGTCGCCAACAATGGAACAAAATTAAAATTTTCAGCAACATTTAGAAAGTTTTCGACAAGATGAAATGAATTTGTGCATCGATTCATCACTATGAATGATACTTGAATCTATCACCATGATCCTGAATCAAGACAAGAGGCTAAAGAGTGCTGTCAATCTGGTTCTTCGGCTCCGAAACCAGGCTGTATCCAGAAATCTACCAGTAAGGTGTTACCATAAGTTTTTTGGAATAATAAAGGAATTTTCGTTGTAGATGACTTCCAAATTGGTATAACAGTAAATTCTAAATATTATTGTAACCTTTTAAACCAGCTGAAGAAAAAATTCATGCAAAAGACCCAGTTTGTAGAAGAAAACAATCCTTTTTAATCAGGATACAAAGTAAAGTTCTAGCTTGTTAGAGAATCCACCGTGTTTACTAGATTTGGCCCCAATCGACTTAAATATCTAAAAAATTCAAGTGCGGAAAGAGGTCATAGCATTTGTGGAAGCATATTTTGCAACCCTTCCAGATTCTGACGTCAGGGATGAAATTCAGACGTTGCAATCGCGTTGTAATAAAGGCATTGATGTTCAGGAAGACTATACTGAATAATAAAGTGTATTTCAAACCATAAAATTGTATTTTTCTTATCGAACCGCTAAACTTATTGAAAAGCCAATATATACCACAAGAAAATAGTTTTAGAACTATATCTGGGGATAAAAGATGGGTATATGGTTAATAAAAAAAATCTGTTCATAAATGGCTTTTATTTATGTACAATTAAGACCAGGTTTATATAGCTAAGCTTAGTTCACAAAGTTTGGTGAAATATTAGAACTAATTACAAAAAGGAATACACAAACGTCAATTTTCAGTTATAGCTTTCCACCTTCAAGTAAATAATACAAACGACAGTTCATAAAATGATTGTCTAAATGCTATACACTCTTCTCATTGAATCTAAATACGTTTTGTTTCTTAGTCAAACAAAACCTATTTTAGTATAAATCCCTAAGTAAAATATAGTAAGCTGAGAACGATTAAAAGTTTCCTCTAAAATATGGCAGTCGCTTGTTTTGTCTACTTGAAGGAGAAATTACAATATTAACAATTCCGATGCATTGGAAACATAAATCGAAATATGTATATTTGGAGCAGTTTTCAAGAATATTATAAGTCAGATATATAATAGGGAACTTTTTTTAAATACGATGAAAATAGTAAGAAGTTTTGTTAATCTCTGTGTTGAAGATGATTGAAATAAAATTAGTTTGTTCACTGTGTCCACCTTTCATACCTGATATTGTTTTCATATGGTTTATGGCATAAAACATGTAAGCAGTAAATTTTATGACTGAAATATTAAGAAATACAGTATCTAAAAGTTGGCAACACAAACGTTGATAAAAAATGTTTTTTATCATTAAACGTTCACCAAGTAAAGTCTCTGTTACAAGTTAAATACATTTTTGCAAGCCATGACGTATTACACAAATGCAACGGTAGGAAGAGATTTCATTTAAATTCCACTTAAGATTCTCCCATACTAACATTTAGTATAAGGAAACTATAACAACCCTTTTTTCCGTATGAGTCACTGTTTCAATTTAGTAGAGTGTAAAAGCCGGTTTTAACCTCAAGATCGGGTGTTGTCGGTTATCTTCGGGTCGGATCATTTTTCAAGATGCCGGCTCGTGTCGGAACGTGAGCTTACGTATTCTCGTGTTTCGAAGTCACGCTCCGACCAATGGTGGCATAGCAACGAGACGTCTCGAGGTCGTTTCTATGTTACCATTAGTCGGAGCGTGGCCTCAAGACACGAGGCTACGTGAGCTCACGTTCCGTGACGAGCCGGCATCTTGAAAAATGATCCGACCCGAAGATACCTGACAACACCCGATCTTGATGTTACAACTGACCTTTACACTCTACTCAATTTGCTAACAAAACTTTTAAATATTCTTGATACTGCTGCT